CTCAAGCGTGGCAACAGTAGTGAGGTTGGCCTAGGATCAGGCAGTGTTTCGTACTGCTGTGCATAAGGTCACTGTGGGTCAGTACCGACTCAATGATACTTAACAACAACAATAACACGTAGCATGAAAGGATCTCTGGTAGCATAGTGGTTACGAGTCGTACTGCTAAACTCATGGTCAGTATCTCAAAACTACTGGAGGTTCCATGGGAGAAAGATAAGACTTTCTGCTCCCATAAAGACTTATAGCCTTGGAACCTTTATACAGGGTCACTATGAGTTGGAACTGACTCCACGACACACTACCAGAAAGTAGCATGAACAAGTATCTGTCATATACTCAACACAAGATCTCAGACAAGGGGCTTAGCAACACAATAGATAAAATGGATCTTTCTTCCAAGATTACATTTTTGCACTGTCCTTCTTAATTTAATGATAATTGGATGTTCACCCAATATTCAGAAATTCAGTGATGCCTACTCTCTCTGAAACTGATGTATGGAAGAGGAGCTGTGGGGTCCACAATAATTTAGTTTTATCACCAGCAGTCCTGATGTGGTGCTGTAGGGTAAGCACTGGACTGCTAAGTGCAAGATCAGCCATTCAAATCCACCAGCTACTCCTCGGACATGCTATACAGGATGTGAGTTAGAACCGACTCGATGACAACACTTAACAACCACATTACCAGAAAGAATCCAGCACCAGAGAAGAGAGGAAAAGTTTAGTCTTCATGTTTCCTTAATTTCAGATGTGGGATGAAAAGTTTTTTAAGTCTTACCTGCAACATCTCTACTGATGATACCTGGAAGCGACGTTCCAGATCGCCGATGAGTTCTGCTATCAACTGGCTTTTCTGGGCCAGTTCATTATCATCCTCTGTCAGCTGACACATGATATCCTCCTCCTCTTTCTGCAGCTTTTGTAGCTCCTCCTCCTCCTCATGGTCCAGGACGTGTCTCAGCTGATCAAACTTTTGCTGGATTCTTTCTCTCTCAGTCTGCATCTGATTCTTCAGAGATGAGAAAGAGAGAAGCAAGACATCATTCTAGTAGAGAGCTTACTTTGAAAAGGGCTGAAGAATATGACATTTGTTTTTTAATAGATACGTCATAATTTCCTGCTTCACTTGCCTCAGGTGCTTTCTCTAGACTCAGCTTGGATAGGAAGTGGAAATAGAAAAGCAATGGAGAAGTGACCTTTTCTATTGGGTTGTTGTTCTTCTAAACTATTTGTTGAGTTATCTGCTTCACTTTTTCCATCCTCATATTCCAAAACAATAGCCAAAAGTCATTCTGAATGATGCCCACCATAAATAAAAAATCAAATACCTGGTGAGTTTTAACACTACTGTTGAAGATATTCATGGCTCCCTGCATTACTCATTAAACCCTCACAAACTCCACCCCCACCCAATGTTGCACCCTGATGCTGGATCTATGGTCCAAGCCAAGTCTTCCCTCAGAAGAATCATAGTCTTAGATAGCATGCTAATATTGGACACAGAATTCACCAGGTTTCCTCACCATGGAATCCCTCTAACTCTGACTCCAAATGTCCATGTTCATTGGTGATATGTTCCCTACCTCCTAACCTTGAAGATGAAACTGACTGTGCAGTCCAGCACATTATCCCGTAATGCCACACCAGGACTCCACTCCACAGGGACAGATAGCCAGGCTTTACCTACCACAGCAGCTAACAAGTTCAAACTGCTGGTCTTACAGTTAACAGTCAAGTGCTTCACCTTTGCATTGTTGTGGTTGCTCAGTTTCTTAGAGTTGATTCCAACTCAAAGCAACCTGGTATAAGGTTTCTGAGGAGTGGCTGATGGGTATGAACCTCCAGCCTTGTAGTTTAAACTAACCTTGAAATCCAGTGCATTAACCCACAGAACCACACCAGGACTCCATTGTAATATAGAGGCTCCTATATGAAGAAGATGACTAATCATAAGCTATCTGTCCAGATGCGTTCAATATTGGAGAATAAAGAGGAAAAGGCTATTGTGGGACTGGGACCCTGTCCAGAACACTCTCAGGAGAAACTCCTCCTACCTTCCAGAAAGCTCTCTCTTCTCTAATGTCATCTCCAAACTTCTCAGCTTCCTTTTGCTGCATCCTCAGTCTTTTAAGAGCTGCCTTGAAATTTGCCTGTAAAAACATAATCCTGCCAATTAAGCTATGAGTTTTCTTAGTATTCAGATAGAAGATTATTCAGGGAAGATTATCTGGCTTTTCTCAGAAAAGACTAGACTTTGCAGAAACTATGAGGTTTACAAGAAATACCAGAGAAAATTCATCAAAAGTGCCTTATTCTCTCTAAAATCCAACCCACTGCCATCAAGTCTATTTCAATCCATAGCAACTATAAGACAGAGTAAGGAGCTCTGGTAGCACAGTGGTTATGAGTCAGACAGCTAACCTCACAGCCAGCAGTTCGAAACTACCAGTGGTTTTACGGGAGTAAGATGAAGTTTTATGCTCCTGTAAAGATTTACAGCCTCAAAATCCCTATGCTGGGTTGCTGAGTTGGAACTGACTCCATGGCACATAACCAGCACCACACCCACCCACGACAGTGTAGAACTGCTCATTGTGTTTCCACAGGGGAGCAGAAAGCCTCATCTTTCTCCTGTAGAGAAGGTGGTGGGTTTCAACTACCAATCTGTGGTTAGTATGCCAATATTTAATCCACTGCACTAATGTATCTCCTTCATTTCTCTAGTCCTAGGAAAAGAACCCAATTACACAGCAAGTCACATTCTTTCTCTGAATCCACCAAGCTCCCCAGCTGCCCTCCAAGGGGGACAATTAGAGTTTAATCTGTCAACCAAATCTTCACCTACCCAACAGAAAATACAAATTTATCTACTTCTGACCAAGAATCTATACCCTGGACTTCTCCCTTATGTAAATGACTGAAATACACAGAAGATGAGCATAAGGTATGGAAAGAAATGATAAATCTCAGGTCTATGATGACAAGGTCATTAGAGCTGGTGGAAAGCCATTTTCTGCCTTGTCTTCTCTGACCCTGGTATTTTACCTGGTAATGCTGGACAACCTCTTCAACGAGGAATGTTTGGTGTCCTTTGTGTTCCTGAGAGCGCTCACAAAGCCAGCAAATGACCATTTCATCCTTCTGACAAAAGAGCAGGAGTTTCTCTCCATGGCGCTCACAGACATCTGTCTTCTGTCCCTCCTCCACCTTGACCTTCTTGAGTCTCTCCACTACCTTGGCCAGATGCCAATTAGGTCGTAGGTTGTCAGAACGATATATGCTCCGGCACACAGGACAACTGTTCTCTCCTTCTGAACTGGTCATGGATGCCTTGTTGTTCATAATGATACACGCTTGACAGAAGCTGTGGCCACAATCTAGGCTCAGAGGATCTCTCATCAGCTCTAGGCAGAGGGGACAGGTCAGGTCTTCATGTAGGTTCACTAGGATCTCAGATGCCATTGCTACCAGCTTCTTTCTTCACTAACTGGAGGATCTTCTTGCTGTCAGACTCCTGGTCCAGATAGGACTGTTAAAATTAGAATAGGTTTATATAGAAATCAAGGATAAGTCAAGGCTGTCCTAGTAAAATACACAAAAATAAAGAGGAGGGAAACAAACAAAGGCATTCAGTCACCTGGGCTAAAAGGGTTTCAATAATCATTTCAAACACATTTCAAATAAAAATATCACGTGGCAAATTCCATCATTTATTCTCTTTATTCTTAGCAGACAAAAGAAAAACCTGAGGTCCTTCCTCCAATATCCTTTGTGACTCACCATCTATCTTCTTGGTATTTCATTTGGCAAATAAATTCTCAGTCAGAAAACCAACAAACCCAGTGATGTTTCATGGCTGTAACGCTTCATCTTTAGTAATCATAGAGCATTTGGCCTAATACCAGCACAAGAGGGCTTCATAAAGTTTGTGGAAACATTCCATGATCTTTTCATTCCATTCCAACCTTAAGGAACAAACCCACCTTGCAGTACAGTGCGTATCTTGCAGCACCAATTGGACAGGTTTGGGGGTGGTTATGTGCCATGGAGTAGGTTCCAACTCATAGGGACCTTGAACAGGGTTTCAGAGGCTGTAAATCTTACGGGAGCAGAAAGCCTCATCTTCTCCAGTGGAATAGCTGGCATTTTCAAACTGCGGACCTTGCGGTTAGCAGCCCGATTCCTAACCACTATGCAACAGGTTTAGAGGTAGGAATTGATCTAAGAGATTGTGGACCGCAGGGTACACAAAACCAAAAGAGAAGGAGTCGAAGGATTAGCTCCAAAATTATGCTCCCTCTCAATGGCTCATATATTTTTGCCCCTGACAAGATGCTTTTCACCCAGGAGAAACAGGAACTCCACCTCACAGATTTATCCTGGAGAAGAGGGAGAAAAGACGTTTTTCCTCTAAAAAAAATAGGATTCTGGCTACACTCAGAAATGAGTGAAATCAAAATTTTAAAATAGAAAGGTCATGGGAGAAGGTTCAGTCTGGAGACATCATGGCCCCTGCAGGAAACAGCATATGACCCTTTAATTCTAACCTCCCTTCTTTCTGGGTGCCCCTCCCCCAGAATCAATCTACCTGCCAACTGACACTAGGAACAGGATGTCTGCAAAACCTTGCTTGTTCCCTCAGAACCATTTCAAGACCATAAATAAAACTTACCAAACACACCCAACTTTTTCTTCTTGAAGTTTTACAAACTGCTTCCACAAACTGTCCTCCGTCCAGAAAGAGGAAGTCCAATTCTGCTTAGAATACAGAAAGCAGGCCATGGACAGGCGTGGTCAGGATTCACACAGCAGAGGAAGAGCTGAGTGAGAAATGAAACTGAAATTCCTATTGGCAGGAGAGAAAACAAGAAAGAGAACTTGGAACCACTAAGACTCCTGGTAAGGAGGGGGAGGGTAATGTTTTCATATGACCTGGTGCATCAGGACAGGCAGGCATCACATGATTCCATTCTTACTCTAATTTTGTTGTTATTAAATGTAGTGGGTCCAAGATCATAGCAACCCTGCATAGGGTTTCCAGGAGCAGTTTGTGGGTTTGAACTGCTGACCTTGTGGTGTTAAGTCCAGTGCCGATCCTAAAGTCCCATACCAGGAGTCCATTTTCAGTCATAATCATGCCCAATTTTGTTTGTGCAAACTTAAACCTCTTCTCAATTCAACTTATTTGCCCCCCTACCCTGCCCCTTAAAAGCTCCCTATCACACAGCAGTTGTTTGGTGAACCTTTTCAAAGAAAGCTATTCTATTTTTAATAAGTAAAAATAAAATTTATTTAATTATTATTTTTTCTTCTCATATATTTTAGCGATAAGGGGCCCTGGTAGCATAGTGGTTACGAATCGGCCTGCGAACCGAAAGGTCAGCAGTTCGAAACTACCAGCTGTTCCGTGGGAGGAAGATGAGGCTTTCTGCTCCCATAAAGATTTACAGCCTCGGAAACCCTGTACAGAGTCGCTATGAGTCGGAACCAACTCCACAGCACAGAACAACAACAACATATTTTAGAGATAAGCTTGATCATTTTACACCATCATTCAAAAAGTGTAACTGAGACATTTTACATTTTTTGCTTATTCTTACTGCACGTTCCCATGATACACACAAGATGGAAGAGATTGATTCCATGACAGATTGCTGCTGAAATCGTGGATCATCAATCTTCATACTTACCTGATATCAGAGAGAGACAGTACTGAATAATCCATTTTTATACCAGCAAAGTAGATATAAGGAACTCTGATAGTATAGTGGTTACAAGTTAGGCTGATAACATAAAGGTCAGAAGTTTGAAATTACCAGTTGTTCCATGGAAAAAAAACTGAGACTTTATGCTTACATAAAGATTACAGCCTTGGAAACTCTATGCAGGGTCACATCAGAACCGACTCCACAGCACAGAACTACCATCACCAAAGTAGAGATATTTTGTTATTGTTACCCACAGAATAATAAACTTACCTGATTTAGAAGGCTGTGCTCTTTCATCTTCATCAGTAAATCTTTTAAAGCCTCTTCACTTTCAGCAAGAAGGTTGTATCATCTGCATATCACAGGTTGTTAAGGAGTCTTCCTCCAATTCTGATACCACGTTTCTTTCATAGAACCCAGCTTCTCAGATTATTTGCTCAGCATACAGGTTGAATAAGTATGCTGAAAGAATACAACAGTGTTGCACACCTTTGTTAATTTTAAACCATACAATGTTCCCATGTTCTTTTTGAACAACTGCTTCTTGGTCCATGTACAGATTCCTCATGAGCACAATTAAGTGTTCAGGAATACTCATACTTCACATTGTCCATAGCTTGTCACGATCCACACAATTGAAAGTCTTTGTGTAGTCAATGAAACATAGATAAACATCTTTCTAGTATTCTCTGCTTTCAGCCAAGATCCATCAGTCATCAGCATTGATATCCCTGGTTCCACATCCTCTTCTGAATCTGGCTTGACCCTTTGGAAGTTCTCTGTCACTGTATTCTTGCAGCGATTTTTGTATTACTTCTAGTAAAACTTTACTCGCATGAGATATCAAAGATATTGTCCAATGATTTCCGCATTCCGTTGGGTCACCTCTCTTTGGAATGGGCACAAACATGAATCTCTTCCAATCAGTTGGCTAGATAGTTGTCTTCCAAATTTCTTGGCACAGATAAATGAGTGCCTCCAGTGCCACCTCACTTTCTTGAAAGATTTTAATTTTTATTCCATCAATTCCTGAGGACTTATTCTTTGCCAATTCCTTCAATATATTTTGGACTTTATTCCTTCAGTTTCACTTCCTCTCGAAATGGTTGAACATCAACCATTGCCTTTTGATACAGTGACTCTGTGTATTCCTTCTATCTCCTTTGGATGCTTTCTGCTTCATTCAATAATTTGCCCAGAAAATCCTTCAATAACAAAAGTCGAACCTTGAATTTTCTCTTCACTTCCCACAGCTTGAGAAATGCTGAGCATGTTCTTCCTTTTTTATTTTCTGACTCCAGATCTTTGTACAGTTCTTCACAGTCATATTTTGAGTGCCTTTGAACCTGAGGGGCTCATTTTCTGGTACTATATCTGACAGTGTTTCTCTACTATTCATAAGGTTTTCAGTGACTAAATATGCAGGAGTAGTTCGTCACTCCTTTTTCCTAGTCTGTCTTCAACGGGAAGCTCATCAGAAACCTGTCCACCAATGGGTGGCCCTGCTGGTATTTAAAATATTCATGGCATAGCTTCCAGAATCACAGCAACTCACAAACCACCACAATATGACAAACTGACAGACGAGTGGTGGCTGAAATGCTATACAGGGTCATTATGTGTCAGAAAGGATTCCAAAGCACTTACAAGAACAACAATATTGTCTTGTTTATTTTTTCTTTTGGGGGCTGTGTTATGCTAGTTGATCCTGTTGTTCTTAGTGCCATAAAGTTGGTTCTAACGTAAAGCAATACTCTATAGGGTTTCCAAGAAGTAACTGGTGAGATTGAACCACCAAGCTTGGGTTTTGCAGTCTAGTGATTATCCCACAGAGCCATACCCATAGTGCAGAATAGATAAATACACAGGTAGAAATAATCTTTCTCAAACATATATGTTGTTGTTGTTGTTAAGTGCTGTCGAGTCGGTTCCGACTCATAGTGACCCTGAACAGGGTTTCCAAGGCTGTAAATCTTTACGGGAGCAGATAGCCTCATCTTTCTCCAGCAGAATCGCTGGTAGTTTAGAACTGCTGACCTTGTGTTTAGTAGCCTGATTCATAACCACTACGCTACCAGAGCTCCATATATATATGGAGTAGTCCTGGTGTGTTGGTGTGGCACTGTGGGTTAATGCGCCAGACTGCAAAACCGTTTGAACTCCAAGGTCGGTGGTTCAAGCTCACCAGCCGCTCCTTGGAAACCCTATACAGGGTCGCTATGGGTTGGAATTGACTCGACGTTGCTTAACAACAACAACAACAATTATATATACATCCATGTGTATAGTCCCATTCTCCTTCACACCCCTGTTAAGCTTGTGTGTCTATCTATGTATCTTGTTATTGTCATTGTTAAATGCTGTCAAGTTGGTTCTGACTCATAGAGACCTTTTATAGAGTTTCTGAGGAGTTGCTGGTGGGTTCAAACCATTAACCTTGAGCTTAACAGTCCAGTATGTATCCTACAATGAATGCCACACCAGGATTCTATTGTTATTGTAAAATTGTATTTATAATATTTAACTGAATTGCCTTTAACTCCTGTATTTCTCCCAGTGTCTTCCTTTGCCATCATCATTTTTGGCTAATGTAATCTTTATGGGAGCAAATCACCAGGTCTTTTATTTAGCAAAGTGGGTTCCAATCACTCACTGCTTAGTACAGAGTCAAGCACTTTAACAATTGAGCCATCAGGGCTCATCTTATTTTGTTCTCTTTGTGAAAGCTCATAGTTTTTTCTCTATCACTTTTTT